GATGCAGCGCCTGTACTGCCCCCAAGTCGCCGAGCTTGAACTCAGCAATCAAGGGTAGCTCGTAATCGAGATGCATCGCACAAGGGGCACGCACCATGGGCAAGGCCCATGTGCAGAAGCGTAGGCTGTGTGGGATCGGCCACCTGGCCTGTACGTGCCCGACTTGCTCCTTGCGCGAGGCGGAAACGCGGCACTGAAGACGGCGGCCGATTTGATCGCGAACCCCGTGCGGCGTGTGACGGAGTATGACGACCACGAAGCGCAGACGCCTGGAGCCCGAAGCTTGGTGTCCTGTTCCACTGGGAAAGCAACAGCGAAACAACAAGCCAGCCGCCTAGACTGACAGCAGTTGTGCCGCTGCCACCTGCCCCCCCTGTCAATTTCAAGACAACAAATATGATACAGGGCGGCCGCGGCAGCGGTGCAAGACGGAGGCCGAGCCTATGCAAGATGAATCATCAGTCGGCGCCGACAGCCTCGACGCCCTTGTCAAGACTGATGCTGCGTCGCCCCAATTTCCATGTTCCCTCCTTGGCCCATGGGCGGTCCATGGATGGCCCATGATGGGAAATGCCAGCAAAGGCACGACGCAGGGTTATGGTGCAATGCTTCTTCGTGCGAAGGCGGTAAGGCTGACAATGGAGGACGGGCACAGTTATGCTGGTCTACATGGTACCTTGGGCACCTGGGGGCGCTGATGACAGCGGACGCGGCGTGCTAGAGCGACAAATGGTGAATGCACACTCACCCTCGCACTATCGTAAGCCCCCAAAAGGCCTTCCAGGTTGTCCAGATAGGTGCACCGAAGGTAGTTGCTACAAACCCATGCACGCACGGTGGTGCTGCTCATCTGACGGTTGAGTGATGGTCAGTAACAACGAAAGCAGAGGGCAGAAGTTGTTTGGTCGATCGCGCCCGGAAGAGGCCAAGGGCGACGACGAGGTGGAGTGGGACGAGTGGTGGAAGTCTATTTGACTCTGATGTAACCCAGATGCTGCGTGTGGGACAAGCGTGTGAAGCTGCTATGACACCAGCACCGGGGCGATGCCTCTATTCTCCGTGGGTCCATGGTGTTTTGCTCGGGCGCTGGACGCTGAATGCTTTGAGCAGCGATTGAGTCTTGACTGAAGAGAAGGGGGGCTGGGAGGGCCTCTGAAGCTGCTGGGTCGTGATCAGAGATCGATCAGTTGCCAAGTCGGCCCAAGGCGAGTCATGTAGATGGTCTCCGTCAAGTAGATACAGATGCGTAGCGACGCACAGGGATGAACGCACGCTGTAGCTACCTTACTGTGGCCACGCGCAATGCATTCAGAAGTGGCATGAGGATGAAGCAGAAGAAATGTTCCCCTGCTCCCAAGATGCAAGGCGCCAGTCGTCATGTCTGTCTTACCTGAACAGGTTTGACACGACTTCTTCTTTGGCCGCCCCAGTTCCGTTTTGGGCACCTTCGACTGATCAGGCGCGCGCGCGCGGGTCGGGCGCTGCTGCCCGCCAGGATAGCCTGCGTCCTCGTCATGGCCCGGCAGGAGCTATCCAGAGCTGGCTTCGCGCGCGCGATAGAGCCATGGTTGGCAGACGAGCGGCGCTAGGTGAATCCGAGTCCGAGGACCGAACCATGTATCTTTCTGGGTACCTCTTTCCCTTCCTTCCTCCTTCCCTACCTAGGTACCAGAGCAGGTAGGTAGCAGGCAATCATACAATTCATCAATTAAGCTCAGCCACTGACAACTCGGTTTCGGAAGGGGGTGCCAGGTCCACCTATGCCGCCCTCCGGCGGTGCTGCGTGCCTGCTTTCCCCATCATGCCCTTGTTACCTGGATCATTTGGCCACAGTACGACAATATTCTCCAATTCCCGCTTTGCCTTCTCTTTGTTTGAAAGAACTACTTGGCACTTGACGGCATACGGAACCCCCCCAAGTTTACTCCTGCAGCTGCAGCTTGTGCAAAAAGATCACCGCCAGGGTTGCAAACTCTGTCAAGGCTAGACCGCGGGGGGGAGGGGCAGGGGGGCATCTCGAGCACCACCAAACAAACCTACCTGGCCGCGCGGTTGCAATAGGGGATATCAGATCAGGCATGATTTCATCTCGAGGCACTGCCCAGACACTGCCTGCGCCCGTCGTGGCGCGATGGGACCCCAGTGCTCAAGTTGACTTGGCCAGTGCTACTACATATCCCCGTCACGAGCTTGTTTCTGGCGAGGGCCACCGGCACTTGTAGCGATTATTGACATGGGCATGCATGTACCAAGAAGCGGCTCGAAGCTTGTGCCGCAGCGAGCTGGCCTCGGACCTCCTCCATGTCGTCGACGCTGAGTTGATGCTCGCCGTCCAGTCGGTGAATTCGCGATACAAGAAAGCCGGCGACGGCCATTGCACATTGCATGTCGGCAACAAAAAAGACCGATACCGACTCGGTTGAGCGAATCGCTTTCGTTACTAGTCTTGGTGCCTTGGCCCTACCAGGCTTTTGGTAGGATCGACCACTAGCTGCTCGAGCTGCCCCCCACTACACGGCTCCAAGTGCCGTGTGCATGGTGATGGTCCATTGCCTGATATTCACGCTCCTATCCACCGTCAAGTAGCACGCTAACGAGAATGACACAGCGAGCCATTGTCGAGGCCAGCCCATCTTCGAGAACCCAAAATCGCGAACGGTGGCGTGGCCGATCCTAACATGGATGGCAGGCTTGGGCAGGCCAACATCGAACAAAGGTCAAACATGCCTGCACACGCCCTTCAACCTCCACTACCTACGATCCAGTATGGAATAACAAGCACGGTCTCCACGTTTCGGAACTTTCCACTCGTTGTTGCTCTATTTTAGTCAGCGGACTTCTCTCGGCAGCGCCCGCAACCACGGACTTTACGTTAATAATTTTTTTTTTGTGCATCAAGGGTTCCGGGAGATCTCATGCAGGCCATAACCCATGGCATAAGTGCACGAGATCACGGAAATGCACCCCATGATCTGTTTTCATGGAGAGATTCGGAACGGCAAATGGACGATTTGAAATTATTTTGTCATATCTTGTCAAACTTTGGAGAACTTGTGTGCGGAGATCCGCAGTCCGTGGAAAAGCCGCCGGCCGCCCATTCAATTTTGACGGCAACAAACAAGGCTGCGTCGCCCGAAAACGGACTCTCGGCCTTTGCCTTAAGCCAACAGTAACTGTGCCAGGCATCTTGGATCGTTCGGGCGAACCACGCTCTTATGTCCAAACTCCACCGTCTCCACCTCTGATCCGAGGCATGACGTCCAAGCGTAACGCTCTTTCGGTGCAGGTACCTGCCTGGACCTGCACACCAAGAAGGCGTGCCGCATGCCTCGACAGAAAGTTTGCGGACTTCAGATCTCCCGTCCATCCGCTCCTCGTACTAGAGTGCGTCCCTGCTGCCCCTGGTCTCGCTCGCGCTCGGGCGATGCTGCGGGATCGTAGAGGTTCCGCCCGCGGCGGACCTCCTGGCAAGCGGAGCCCCCACGGCGCCGCTGAGAAAAACATAGACGCCATGGCATCCTTGTCATTACCCGGTGATTGACAGCCTTCTTAGCTCGTTCGGCTTGTTGAACTGGAACCGCCAGCTCGGGTCTGGTGACGGATACTGCCAGCTGGCCGTCCACATTGGTGACATCACCACAAGACTGCATCGTTACGCGGCAGGAAGGTTAAATGGTCTCGACCGGTGCAAATTTAGCCAAGGCTCCGGCGGGCGTTCAAGACGCCTCTTCGGTCAGTAGCTTTGAAACATTTTACTTCTTTCCGACAGAGCTTGGCGACGATCAACACCCGACAACGTCTCCCGGCCCGGAGGCTTTCCTGTATCATCAGATCATGCCAGACTCGCCTGCCGGACGCTGGGATCCACGACGAGGAGCAACGTGGGTGCATGAAGGCTCGGGCCCCACCTAGGATGCACACGCCGTCAAGTAATCTGTGTGCAAAGTGCTGTTTGCGAGCGAGAAGCAGCAATGCATTGCTGTGCAGTTTGAATGCGAAAGGGTCCGCAGGCTTTGTGGGCGCGACCAGCCGCCGATGGCTCGGTACGGAGACGGCGACTCGGCATAATTCTGGGGCGATTAGTAGTCTCGAGGACGACTAAACAGCCCACCGGAATGGAAAAAACTTCAAATGACGCAGCATCAGTGCTCGCTTCGCAACTTGTGCCTCGGCTCGACCAGGTCATGGTCAGGCGCGCTGAGCATTGGAATTCAGTGGCTGAAAACCCGCCGAATGCATTTGTCGGTGTTGGGAACATTGACATCTTCATTGCAACAGCCGCCGGAACGCTACTACACAATGCGATGCCTGACTCGCTACGGAAGAGGGCAGCCAGAGATGTGGAGGAGAAATCAGGAAACGAAGCAAAGAGGGGGAGGGAAAACACGCTGGGATTACAGCAAAGTAGGCGTCACTATCAAAACAACATGATCAAGAGTCCCGCTCTCTCCTTTCCTCGTCATCACAGCTTTGCCTTGCCCGCGTCCTTGGCCGTGGCCCCATCCCGCGCCGCGCCGTCAACATCCTCTTGCGTCAGTCGCACGAGCCCCTCCTGGACGCAGGTGGCAAGCAGGGTGCCGTCGGCGGCAAATATGCGCTGCAGGACGACACCGCGGCCGTCACCGGCCCAGGGCGTGTCCATCTCGGAGAACATCCACTCGTCGGCGCGCACGCGGCGCGGGTCGTGAAAGTAGATGGAGTGGTCGAGACTGACGAGCATGCCGAGGGTCGGGCGGGCAGCCCAGTCGTCGGGCCCGTCGCCGAGGCCGTCAACGCGGTTCGAGCGCTCGACGTGGGCGCGCAGTGCCGGGTCGAGGTCGGCGACTTCGGACGGCGCAAAGGGGAAGCGCCAGAGCCGGTGCACACGCGACACGGTGCCGATGAAGTAGCTGTCCGACATGTAGGCGAGGGCGTTGAGGTGGGCGGCGTCCCCGCCCGGCAAGCGCTGATGGTGCCCGCCGCGCCCCGGTTTCCAAGACGCCGGCAGCCGCATCCCTGTGCTCCGTCGGCGGACCTTGCCCCTGTCCGCTGTCCCGCTTCCTGCCATGGTCAGCCTCCTCGCCGTCGTCACCGCCGACAATCTCAATGCTCCGGCTCTCAAAGGGCCCCCGCGCGATCCAGGCCTCCTGGTCGGCCGGCTCGTCGTCGGCGGGCGGGCAGACGCCGGCGGGCAGCGGTACGGCGTGGCGGGCCTGCTTCACGCCGCCGGCACCCTCGCGCACAAAGCTGGCCGTGACGGTGAAGATGCAGCGGCCGCGCTGGCGGGCCTGGACGGTGCGCGTGGCGAAGCTGCGGCCGTCGCGCACGCGCTCGACGTGGAACAGGATGGGAATCTCGGAGCTGCCGGCGAGCAAGAAGTAGCAGTGGCACGAGTGGATGAAGAACGGGGCCTCGCCGGGCGCGGGGTCCGGCACGGTGCGCTGGGCCGCCGACAGGGACTGGGCGATGACGGCGCCGCCAAAGATGCCGCGCGCCCCGGGCGGGTGCCAGGGCTGGCGCGTGTTGGTGAAGATGTCCTGTCTGCTTGTCAGGGGGGAGGGTCCATGCAGGGTCGATGTGGAGAGAGAGAGAGGGGGGGGGGCAACAGCAGGAGGAAAACTCACCGGCCCCAGAACGCCGAGTTCCGTCACCTCGAGGACATTTTCAATGTGGCTCTTCTCGGAATCGTAGGGCGGCGGCTTGACGAGCGTCGTGCGACCGCTGCTGCTGGACATGATGGCGACGAGGCCCCTAGCTGTCGTGACGTGTGCTTTGCGTCGTATTGGACCGAAGCTTCTTTCGAGGCTCCGAAGATCCACTCAAGGGATTCCTCGCTCGATATCGCGTTGCCCCGTCCAGCCGGGGTTATGTGTCCTGGCTGGGCTAAGTCTGATGGGAATATGATGGCCGATGAGACGAAGAACAAGAATAGAAAAAAACTCTGATGGAGATGGAGACCGGTTGGTTTGATGAGGGGCGGGAGAAAGGGGGCGGTTGAAGAGATAGATTGGAGACAGACCCATTCACAGGCAAGGCAAGTGAAGTGAGGTCGGTGGTGGTTTGAGATGGATGGTGACACAGACGCAGGCACAGGCAGGGGGCTGTTGCCGAGGTTCGGGCCACTGGCGCATGACAGGCCGTGGCACTGGCACTGGCAGTGGCTAGTGCCGACGTCTCCACCCGTGCCGTGTCTCCCCTCGGTAGCACGACCCGAGCCCGAGCGCCGGGTCGCTCCAGTCCATCAGGACCTTCCATGGCCCCCGATCCATCTTCTCATCTTCCCATATACCCGCCTTAAACCCTCTCCGCATGTGCTACTTATGTGATTGTGCGGGGGGTGCGGCTTTCCATGGACGGGCTAGAAGAAATGGTTCAAGACAAAACCCCGCCGACGAGGCAAAACAATCATCTCTCTATTGACCTTGCTCTGGCTACCCCAAGTACAACTAACTGCGTGTGCTACTCCAACCTCTCTCCCCTGCCCTCCGCACACCCAGATCAGCTCCTTCTCACTCGCCATGAACCCCTAGACAGGGACGCTCTACTGCTCCACGTCTTGGTAGATGGGCTCGAGTCCATGCCACGCCGATGTGTCACCCGTGCCCGCCTTCTCACGCTGCTCCCAGTACTTGCCGTTGAACTTCCAGTACTTCTCCCCCGTCACCTCCGAGAGCTCCTGCGTGAACCACGCCGGCGTGAACTCCTTGCCCTGCGTCTCGCGCGCCCGACGACGCGCCCGCTGCGCCTCCTCGAGCCGGTTCTTCTCCGTCGCCGCGAGGTCGTACTCGCCGTCCTCCATCGCCCGCTGGTCCGGTCGCAGACGCGAGTCCGTTGGCGCGATCCACGCCCGCAGATTGTCGTCGAGATGGTTGAACGTCAACACAAACGGCGTCAGGTTGAACGGAATGCCCTGCGGCCGCTCGTGCGCCTGCCAGATGAGGAACGCCTTGTTCGGGTCGTGCGTCTTGTTGTCGCCCGGGTCCTCCACCGTCGCCTCGTAGCCCGGCGTCAGTCGCGCGTAAAACTTCGAGTTCCACCGCCCGCCCAGGCTGTACCGCACCCGCCCATCCGCATCCACCACCTTGCCCTTGATCTTGAACGCGCTCGACGCCTTCCACCCGCGCGGTTCAAACTCCACCATGCACTTCTCACCAGTGCTGTGGTTCGTCACCTCCATCGGTCCGTAGTGGTCCAGCACCGGGTTGCCCGTGATGATGCCAATGACCGACGACGTCACCTTGTTCCACGTGTACAGGTCCTCCTTGCCCCCCGAGTTGGGCCGCAGCTTGAGATACCACGTGCCGAGCTGCGCCACGTCAAACGACTTGCCGTAAAACTTGGACTTGACTGACGCCTCGCCCCAGTACGTCCACTTGGGCGCCTCGGCCCACACGGCACCGATCGGCGGGTGGTGGCTGACCTGCTCGACAAAGAAGCGGTAATTCTTGTCTGGACGCACATACTCAAACGTCTCGCCCAGCAGCGGGTTGAATGGCTTCGCCACGCGACCAATCGTAGAGGCATACTCGCTGGCAGCGAACGCTGCCACGTAGAGCATTCGCTCCAGCGAGTCGCTGCGGTCCGCCGCCTGTTCCAGCAGGTCTGTATACTCCATGTCCTCACCAGCGCGGTACAGGAGCGACGTCGGCTCGTTAAAGGAGACGGGCAAGGTCATCTTGGTCATGTCTTTGCCGATCATTGATTTGAGGATACCCTGTTAGTGAATCTTGTTAGCTGACTGACTAATATGTCGTCAAGGGGGAAGAACTTCTTACCCAAAGCGAAATCTTGGGCCTGTCATCCGCATCCATCTTGAGCCTTGTGCGGACACCGTTTTCATAGCCCTTGAACGAGCTGCTGATGTCCAAGGTCCCGGAAACAACAACCTCCTTGGGCTCCGCTGTACCGTCAACCTCTGGGCCCGAGCGCTCGGCCGGGAGCTCGCTGACTTCAACCTCGCCCGCGTCCACGGCATCGAAGAACTCATCCGAAGCGTCCGACTCTGAGTCAGAGAGATCACTGATCTGGTCGAGCGCAGTCTGCTGCCTCACAATGCCGGCACCAGGCGCGCTCTTCGCCGCGCCATCGGTGCCGATCGCCTCATCAATGACCTCGGTGCCATCAGCCCTGTTGCTGTCTGTCACGGGTGCTTTGCTGACTGCCTCCCGCAGAGCACGCTTGGCCAGTTTCCTCTTCGTCTCGGCCTGGTCAACACGCTCCTCGAGAACCTCCTGCTCTTTGGCCACCTGCGCCATGCTTTCCTCCCACATGCGCCGCATGTCAATCTCGCGATCCAGCCGGTACTGCCAGTACGCATCGCGGTCCTTCGAGATGCGCAGCAGATCGCCCATGAGACCAGTCAAGCTGCGAACTGCAGCATCATATGTAGCGAGAGCCTGCGACACCTTGCCGTCAGACAGCGTAGCGGCCGGATTCTTGGAAGTCTCGGCGATGAGCGCCGCATTGACAGCTGCGATCGTGTCGAGCTGCAGCTTGGCAGACTGCGCAGTGATGTTGAACGCATCCCTCGTCACAGCCGGGCCATCGCGATTGCTCGCCTCCTCAAAGTAGTCATCGTCGTCGTCATTTCCTCCCGCGTTAGTGTGGGTGTGGTTGCCGCCCATCCGAGACGCATCGCCTTCAGTCATCGCATCGGCGTAGTCGTCATCGACGCTGCCCACGGTACTGGCGGCCCTGTGCATAGAGTGACGAGGTCCAGACTGCGTTCGGTGGATTTGCGTGCTGGTTCTCCGCGTATCGGCCATGCTGGCGCTTTCGCTGGCGGGGTCGTTCATGGACAGCTCTGGAGATTTGCCAGCCTGGTCGGCCTTAGCTTGACGAAGCATCTCGGCACCACGAGCCTTCTGCTTCTCCTCCTCCTTGGCTTGGTCCTTGGTCCACTGAATGGAGTTGTTCAGCGCCCAGAACCATCTCTTGGCCTCGACTTCGTGGTTGGCCTTGAGGGTGTATTTGGGAGATGATTTGCCGATAATCTCAAATTTGGTCTTCTCGTCGGCGCTCATGTGAAGCTTGGCAATGCGCATGTTGATGGCGCCGCGGCAGGCCGAGCCAGCATCATCCTGGTGTTTGTAGTAACTCATGACACCGTCCTCTAGGACGAAGAACCTCAGCTGGTATCCCTTTCGGTAGTTGGTCCACTTCTTCAGGTAGCCAGACATCTCGCGGGCTTCTCTTCCGGCGAGAGGGTCACCCGGAGTGCTCGAGGAAGCGCCCTGGGATGCAGCATGACCAAGAACAGCCTTCTCTTGAATGCCCCTCTGGGCGGCCACGGCAGCAGGCGAGCGCTTGAGCATGGAACGAGTCGTGTCGTCCTTTGTGACATCTTGGGGGAGCTTGCCCTTACGATCTCGTCGGAATGGATCAGCACCGTGAAGAAGCAAGACTTGGATGAGCTGCGAGTTCTTTTTGCGAGCTGCCTCGTGTAAGAGGGTTCCTCCGTTTTGAACGGTCACGGTTTCGGTGCAGAATTCGGTGCTGTTAATGTCAAGAACCTGCTTGAGGCGCGGCTCTTCAAGAATGACCTCGAGCGCCTTGTAATCGCCCTGGGCAATGAGACCCTGGACCTGACGCACCTTGTCTTCGACAAATAGTGACCGCGACAGCTGGAGCTGTTGGAAGATTTCCGGGTTCCTCGCCGAGTCGATGGGCAGCCGGCCCTGCGTATTGGGAATGGCATCGTTGATGTCTTTTTGTTCGAGAAGCAGCTTGACAACCTGAGTCCGTCCTTGGGCTGCCGCGATGTGAAGCGGCGTGTTGCCCTCCTTGTCGCGTGAGTTGACATCTATGGAGCCGGTGCTGTTGTGAAGAACAAACTCGACGACAGGGTATTCTGCGCACTGGATGGCCAGGTGTAATATGGTGGTGTCATCCAAACCGGTGCCGTTCAGCGATCCGATGGAGGAAATGCTGGTCCGCGGACCGCCTTCGGCAGTTTCGCGAATGGCTCTGGAGATGGATGCCGTGTCGCCACTCCGCAGAGACTCGACGATGCGGAATTTTCGAACGGACTGCTCGAGAGACACGCCCTTGTTCTCGAGCGATACGCTGCCAGTCTTGGAAGCCAGGCCTGCGGGGCTCTGGTTGGAGGGTGTTCGTGCCAGGGCGGCGGAGGAGGCGGTAAGCTTGGCGCCCTGTGTTCGGGTGGAGGTCTGGTGGGATAGAGAGGCGCTCGACGAGAAGGACGGAGACAGGCCCGAGAAGCCAGAGTTGCCAGCATCGTCGGGGCCGGAAGAGTTCGAGGCGTCCTCTTCGTGACGAGAGTGGTTGCGACGGAGAAGGGCGAGGGCAGCGGCCGATTTGGACCGCTTATGGGCGGTGATGCTGTAGCCGCAGTGGCATTAGGACTGGTATGGTCGTCGCATGGGGGGGAGGGGAGAGTATTCAAATTTCGTTCAGGGGAGCGAGGGACGTACCTTTCGCCTGTGTCTGACATGATGACGCTGCTGTTCGAATCCTTGTCGAGGCAGCCAAGGCAAAGAAGAGCGACGATAGCAACAATAACAACCAGAATAGGGCACCTAGCTTATGCAACGCAGGAAATGACGGCCGCGGGCCGAAAGGCGTCGGGGAAATGTGTAGAGAACTGGATGAGGTAAGGCAGAGAGGGTCTCAGGAGATGGACTGTGCTTCACAGCATTTACATTCTCGGCAGACGCCCTACTCCACCAGTACTTGCGTAGAAACAGGCGCAGCTGGCCGCCGTTGAGGACCCTGATGCGGATGTTGTCCTCGGTGGCTGATACAGTTTGTTGTCAGGCGGGGCCTTGACTCGACCGAGACCTGAGGCTCTGGCAACGAGGGGCCACCGTAGTCTGATACCCTAATATAGGTACGAGTTGTGGAGGAACGGAATTCGGGCACTGGAAACGGCCGGTATGCACGAATGGCCCGTCGCGTAGTAGAGGAGGGTCTGAGCCACGATGATGAAGAGGTCGATGGCCGTGAGGGTAGGTGGTAGGTAGGTGGTAGGCAGTGTCAGGAGCAAGGATGGCGATGGAGTCGTGGATTGAGATACATATGGCCAGGCACAAAGTGGCCAGTTGAGGAAAGCACCAACCAGTCGTCCCGTTTCCCCTCTTCCACCTTGCTTTCGAGTGCAGGAGCCAGGCAATGACGTTCTTGCATGTGGGGTGGATGGAGCTCACGCCTGGTTGGAGCTCCAGCCAATGACGCCTCGGTGCCCTGAAGCTAGATCAGAAGATGACTAACAGCCCCTTGTTCACCTGCTCCAACGGACGGCTCCTCTTTCGTGTGCCATCTGCCTCAGGGCAATCCGTGCTTCGATCCGTGGTTGTGTCTCATCTCGTACAGTTACGATCACCTTGCTGCGCCGCCAACGTTGACGCGTCCCGGCCTTGAAGCGCTGTACGGCCCTTGCAATATACGGTAGCACAGAAAACATCGTATGATGAGGCTGGACACATGTTCTAGATCGGACCAAGATTGCGGCTACATGGATCCTGAACTTTGAGACTACTCACCAACACCAATAGATCAACCTACCACATCATTACTATGTAGATGCAGAATCAATACGACATCGAAGAGAACAAGCCGCCAATTATCCATGGTGGCCTACAGCAAAAGCCCAGCGACAACGACGGCGAGAGCCGCTGCGCTGATCATCCCGGTCTTTCCGGCACCAGCCTCTACGATGTGGCTCGGCTTCGGTAGCGCATGCGAGCCCGTAGCGTTGTGCCCAAGACCTGCAGGCGGAATCACAATGGTCGTGTACGGCTTCTTCACCGGAGGAATTGGTTCGCCGCTTTCCTTCGGGGGCGAGTCCTCCTCGTTGCCCTTATGGGGAACGTGAGGTCCGCCGCTAGGCTTGGGTGGCTGAGGAGCATCCGTCTTCGGTCCCTGTGGAACGTCACCCGTGGCAGGGCAGACGGTGGTGTACCATGTGACTTCAGTCGTGACCTGGCCAGAAGGGCAGTATGCCACATCAGGAGCGCAGGAGGTGACGGTATATGTCTTAGTCGTGTAGGCAGTACTCGTCGTCCAGACGGGTGCTGACGTGACAGGAGCTGACGTGATGGCGGGTGTCGGGGTCCCATCGCCAGTCTCCATGACAGGACAAACGGTCGTGTACAAGGGAATGGTCTCCGTAACGACATCCCCCTTGGTGCAGGGCACATCAGGGTTGCAGGACGTGATGGTGCGGGTGCTCGTGGCGTATACGGTGCTTGTGGTAAGCTCGACAGAGTCGGAGGACGTAGTGCTGGTGGGTCCAACGGACGAGGAGGACACGGTGATTGACGCCGTAATCGTTGAGTTGGATGGCAAACGACTACTGGTAGTGGTAGGTCCGGTGGGAGGCGCAGAGTCGCATCCAAACTCGAGCGCGTCGGCAGCGTGTTCATTGAAGTTCTTGCCATCAATGACGTTCTGAGCGCCCCTCGTCGCGTCCCAAAAGGATAGGCCTCCAAACTGACTCTTGTCCTTAAGCGCGCAGACAATTTCCTTCACCTGCTCGTTGTCGACATAGCCACTGCCACCTGCCGCAGGGCTCGCCAGCAGGCCGATAAAGATGTGTGCGTCCTTGCTCTGGTCGGTCTCCGACAGGACCCTCAGCCAATCATCATAGTTGATATTGTCAGAAGCCTGGCACCCAGGATTGTTGTAGAACTGGATGAACAAGGCATCGAACTGGGCGGCGTAGACAAGCTCCTTCAGTTGGAAGTACTCATCGGAAGTAGGGCACTGGGGGGCAGCTGTGATGTAGTAAGCAGGGTTGAGGGCGCGAAGGACCTCAACCATCCTGATGTAGGGCGCTTGGTTGGCTGATAACATGTCGTGGTCAGCCTGTGAAGCGGGAAGCGTACATGTATGCGAGCTTACGGTACTTGAACTCAATGTCAAAATCGAAGCCATCGACGGCCACATGCTCCGTCTCGCTGATGTCAAAGGGACGAGGGCCAGAGTAGGTAGGATCGTACGGGCCGAAGATGGAGTGGAGCTGTTCGGCGAAGGCTTCTCCCTCTTCCTCGTCCAAGACATCATAACTGCAAGGCTCGCCACCGGCGCAGTGTCCGCCAATGGACAGAAGAACCTTCTTGCCAATGCTCTGACAGTACCTGATGTCTGTCTTGATAGCATCACAGTTCATGATGAGAGAGGTCTCTTCGCCGTTGACCGGATTCACATAGAACTGCTCGCCACCACAGTGGCCGGCAAAGTTGGTTCCGGGATAGTCATTGCCGTACCTCGGGGACTTGTTCACAAAGGACAGAGTGACGGAGGTGACGCCGGGCGAGTCACAGTAGCTGGCCAGGCGATCCGTGGGCAGGCCCAGCTGGCCCCAGTAGAGGTTGAGCCCGCCATACGTGTTAGCGAAGGCGGGACCGGCACCGAGAGCCACGGCCAGGAGGGACTTTGAACATCATGTTGGTGATATACTTGGATATGAATGTGAAAATGTAGAAGGACTGTAAGGTGGCCGAAGCCTGTAGGTAGCGAGCGTGGAGAGGTGTTTGTGGGTTCATCTGAAAGGACGCAAACAAAGTGTCTGCAAAGCCGAAAATGGCTGTGATGTCGTCTCTGGTTTGACGATGAAGAGATGAGGAGACACGAGCAGCAGCAG